TTTTTGGAATATAACTTTTTGGTATTTAATATTGTAGTAGACAGATTTAGGAATGACATATCTAAATTATAAGGTTCTAGCACAAACTACTCACTTTAAAATCCTTGTTGCCAGTTTTACGTAACATTAGAAAGACATTTTGATGGTATTTTAATCAACTTATTAATGTGTGACCTTCTGTAATAAAATTTAACAAAATTGTAGATAGATTTAAGCACTTTAAAGTCCTTGCTGCCAGTTTATATATATTTTAGCTTTTTTATCTCAGTTTTAATGATTATCTTGTTTTGTGTAAAAAACTCTATTAAATTTAGTATTTAATATTATAGTAGACTGTGTTAGGATGATGCAATTTGGATATGTCATTCCTAAATCAAAATCCCCACCTTAAAATCCCTGTTGCCAATTTTACGTAACATTAAAAATTCTAAATTAATTGAATATATCTCCAAATTATCAAATCAGGGATAAGCGACTTAAATTTTATATGAACTTGTCAATTATATATATATATATATATATATATATATATATACATAAATTGTTCATCCCTGATTTAACGATTCGGAGATTTATCCAAATAATTTGTTATATCACATGTTATGTAACAAAATACATCAGTTTTAGTATTTAATATTGCAGTTGACATATTTAGGAATGACATAATTAAATTACAGCATCTTAGCACATAATACGTACCTTAAAATTTCTGTTGCCAGTTTTACGTAACATTAGAAAGATATTTTGCTGGTATTTTAATCAAATTATTAATGTTTGACCTTGTGTAATAAAATTTAACAAGATAGTAGATAGATCATAAGCACTTTGAATTCCTTGCTTCCAGTTTATATATATTTTAACTTTTTTATCCCCGTTTTAATGATATAGAAATTTCTCAAATAATTCTTTGTCACATTTTATGTAACAAATTCTATTAGATTTAGTATTTATATTATTGTAGTAGACAGATTTAGGAATGACATATCCAAATTACAGCATCCTAGCCCAAAATACGCATCTTAAAATCGCTGTTGCCAGTTTTTACGTCTTGATGGTACTTTAATTAAATTATTAATATCTAATTTTGCTTGATAAACTTTACGAATTTTACCACTTCCCACACTTCAAAATTCCCGTTGAAAAGTTTATATATAATTTTACTTCTTTATCCCTAACTTAACCATTCGGAGATATTATTAATAATTTTTTATATCACACTTTGTGCATCAAAATACATAAATTTTAGCACTTAATGTTTCAGTAGATAGATTTAGGAATGACATATCCAAATTACAGCATCCTAGCACAAAGTACGCACCATAAAATCCCTGTTGCCAGTTTGACGTAACATTAGAAAGACGTTTTGATGCTTTTTAATACAATTATTTTATAATATCTAATCGTACGCGATAAAAATAATAAGTTTTACAATTTATTAGTATAGTAGACATAATTAGTAGTGATGTCTTCATATTCGCAAACCGCACACTTTAAAATCCCTGTTGCCAGTTTATCTTTTAAACTTTCCGAGTGTCAACCCTCCCTGATATATTATTTCCGTCCGCCACAGTGTAGAATACTAATTACCATTACCATTATTATTATTATTATCATCATCAACAACAACAAATGAAAGTTTTCGCAATTACGAGATTGCATTTCTCCATTTCTGCATTTTACCATTTCCCCATTTCTGCATTTCTGCATTTCTGGCAGACGTGCGAAATTATGCAAAGTCGTCGTAAAAACATTTGCGAAACAGAAGCGCAGAATGTTTTGTTGTTGTTTTGTCGTGTTTTGTAATAATTTCAATTAACACGAAGATGATGGGACAAGTTTATTTATAACGGGGAATAAAGTTAGGCCGAGGATGAAATAGACGGGGAGCCGGGGGTAAAAGATAGAAAGGAAATAACACCTAAATCTGCTTACTGTAATTTTAAATATGAAAATTGATGAATTTTAAATAAATTACCACCAAGCGCTCTCTTTCTGATGTTACGTAAAACTGGCAACACGGTTTTCGAGGTGTATATTTTGTGCCAGGATGTTGCACTTTGGATATATCACACCTAAATCTGTCTACTATAATTACAAAAACTAAAATTGGAGAATTTTATCACGTAAGGAGAGATATTAGTATTTATTTGTATAAGTGAACCGTTTATACAAAAATTTGTAGGGCTAATATTTTGCATCGAAATGCTTTTTATACTAATATAATTGTAAGTACTAGGAAAGCATAATTTATTGTACGTTAGATTAGATATTGTTAATAATTTGAATAAAGTACATTGATGAAGTTTTTCTAATGTTACGTAAACCTGGCAACAGGGATTTGAAGATGTTTAATTTGTGTTAGAATGCTGTAATTTGGATATATTTTATTTAAATCTGACTACTATAATTGTATAAACTAAAATGTAACGTAAGAAAATATTGCATTACTTATTTAAGAAAGTGTTGAAGTATATAAGATTATACAATAAATTGGCAACTAAGACTAATATTTTACGACTGGATAGATACCTTTCATACTATTATGGTTATAAATACGAATCCTGGTGATTTTTTTGCGCTAGATTATTACATTTATAAAGATTATTATTAATTTGAATAAAGTAACTTGATGACGTACGTACGTCTTTCAATGTTACGTAAAACTGGCAACAAGGATTTGAAGGTGTTCGGTTTGTGTTAAGACGCTGTAATTTGGTTATGTTGTACTTAAATCTATGTACTATAATGGTAAATAATAAAATCCATAAATTAAATCACTCAAGACTAGATATTTACAATTATTTGTACAAGGTACCACAAATTGAATACGCTAATGTTGATAAAACCAAATTGACAAGGTGAATTTTGGGATTGTTACAATTTTAGTGTATTATCTAGGTTAGATATTATTAATAATTTGAATAAAGTACCTTGTAGACGTCTTTCTAATGTTACGTAAAACTGGCAACAAGGATTTGAAGGTGTTCAGTTTGTGTTAGGGCGCTGTGACTTGGATATATTGTACTTAAATCTATGTACAACAATGGTAAATACTAAATTTCAAACAAAAATTGATACAAGATGAGATATTAACAATTATTTGTACATGGTACCACAAATTGGATACACTGATGGTGATACAACTAAACTGACGAGGTGAATTTTGGGATTATTACAATTTTAGTGTATTATCTGGATTAGATATTATTATTACTTTGAATAAAATTCCTAGATGACGTGTTTCTAATGTTACGTAAAACTGGCAACAAGGATTTCTGGGTGTTCAGTTTATGTTAAGACGCTGTATTTTGGTTATATTGTACTTGAGTCTATGTACTGCAATGGTAAATGAAAAATTCGATAAATTTTATAATACAAGATGAGATATTAGCAATTATTTATTATCTCAGGCTGTTACAATTTTAGTGTATTATCTAGATTAGATAATATTAATAATTTCAATAAAGAAACTTGATGATATCTTTCTAATGTTATGTAAAACTGGCAACAAGGATTTCAAGGTGTTCAGTTTGTGTTAGGATGCTGTGATTTGGATATATTGTACATAAATCTATGTACAACGATGGTAAATGATCAATTCCATAAATTTTATGATTCAAGATGAAATACCAACAAATATTTGTACAAGATACAACAAATTCAACCAGACTGTTACAGTTTTAGTGTATTATCTCTAAATGGCTTCTTTAATAGTCTTTTTACCTACATCTATATCCAAATCTTTTTTATCCAATACATGATGTTATTATTAATGGACAGTCAAATCCTTTTTTCTGGTGATACTTACAAATCGGTAACATAATGTTATAATTATATTTAAGTCTGCAGCAAATACCAAAATTGATCTCATGCTTTTTTTTCTTTTTCAGGTTCAACAAAAGCGAGCTACAGCCTTAGGAGTCTTAGAAGCCTTAAGAAGTGGTTGTCAAACTACTGGACGTACTGCTGTTGTCTCCAGAAAGCAGTTGGTTCTTGATGTTCTTGGTATTTTGAAAAGGATTTTGAGCCCTAGTTTGAGGAACGTATCTTTGCAACTACTGACACCAAGGTAAGGAGAAAAATACAACAAAATTTGGCCTTCGAAATCACCAGCTGCAGGATCTAAGTCTAAGATAAGATGTCTAAGATAATTTTATTTTTTAGTGAACGTTTAGACCTCAGACATGCTGTCAACGTGATGGCCGATTTGGGCTTAGCCTATTCCCAAGGCAGATCAGCTGATGGAACTTACCATTACCAACTGGAACCAGATATAGATTTGGTTGGACTGTTTCCGGGTAAAAGAATAATCTGATAAATCTATTTCTCCCTCAGCCTCAGTGTTCGTCCTTTTTCTAATATTTCCATTACTTTTTTCTTCAGATGTTCCCCAGCCTCAAACTTTGTCCTATTGGGCGCAGCAGCTGATCGCTCGAGAAGTCGATGTCGAGAAAATTAGAAGATCAGCTCCAAAAGTGACAAGTAAAACGTCCAAGGACAAGGAAAATGATGATAATGTTGCCAAAAAGGCAGCAAGTGTCGAGAAAAGTGTTCTAGGTGCTCCTAAAATTGCTCCAAATACGAATTTGCCAAACCATTTACAAACGTTGCAACCGAAGGCTGCCAATTTTGGACTGCCGAAGAAGAATCTGGTAAGTTTTAGGAATAGAATTTTGGTGATAGGTAAATTTAATGTTATGTGCGATTTTGGATTTTTGAGATAATAGCTTAGGTTTTTGCTAGAAAATCCGATTTTTTTTGTTAAGTTAGGTTTTTCGAAGTCTTGCGTCATTTGGAATCGTTTGCCACCGAAATTGGTTGAAGTTTATACGTAAGAATGAATGTTGGTTTTTTTATATCCATTTTCGAACTTTTCAGAACAATGTCGTAATCTTTAAAGCATTTTCAGGCTATCTAGAACATTTTCAAACTACCCAAATTATTCTTAAACTGTCTACAACATTTGAAAATTATCTAGAATATTTTTAGACTATCCAGAACACTTTCAGATTTTCCAAAACTTTTTAACACTTTGAGACTATCCCGAACATTTTAGACTATCCCGACTGTTTCAGAATATTTTCAGACTATCCAGAATACTTTGAGACTTTCCAGAACTTTTTTAAGAATGTATTAGAACATTTTTAGACTATCTAGAATATTTTCAAACTATCCAGAACATTTTTAGATTATACAGAACTTTTTTAAGACTGTCCAGAATATTTTCAGATTATTCAGAACACTTTCCTACTATCCAGAACTCGTTTAAGACTATTTTAGAACATTTTGAGGCTATCCAGAGTTTCTCTAAAACACTTTCAGATTATCTAGAACATTTTTAAACTATGTACAACATTTTTAGGCTATCAAGAACATTTTTAATTTATCTAGAGACAATCAAGGACATTTTGATACTATCTAGAGCGTTTTCGGATTATTCTGAATATTTTCAGACTATCTAGAACTATGTGGAACTATGTAGAATTACATAGCACTTTCTAGAACTATACGGACTATCCAAAATTGCATAGGACTATATAAAACTATAACCATACAGGACTATCTAGAACCAGATAGGACTCTCCAGATCTATATGGGACTATCCAAAACTATATAGGACTATCTAGAACTATATAACACTATCTAAAACTATGTAAAACTATCTAGAACTATACTGGACTCTCTAGAATTATATAGGACTATCTAGAAGTATGTAGGACACTCGAGAATTATATAGGACTTTCTAGAAATTTGTAGTATTATCGAGATCTATGTAGGACTACCTAGAATTGCATAGAATTATTTAGAACTATGCAGGACTATCTAGAATTATACAGGACTATCTAGAACTATATAAGACTCTCTTTTATATAGGACTATCGAGAATTATGTAAGATTATCTAGAACTATTCAAAACTATCTAGAACTGAATTTATATTTAGAATTATATAGTATCTAGAACGTTTTCGAACAGTTCAGGATATTTTCAAGACTATCTACAATGTTGTCAAACCATCTAAGACATTTTTAGACTATCTAGAACATTTTTAGACTGTCGAGAATATTTTTATATTGCCTAGAACAATTTTATACTGTCTAGAAGATTTTCATTTTATCTTCGACATTTTCAGGCTATCTAGGACATTTTGAGTCAATCTTGAATACTTTCAGACTATCTAGAACATTTTCAGATTTTCTAGAACATATTCCAACTATTTAAAATGTAGACAATCTAGAACTTTTTCAGACTATCCAAAATATGTTTCTGAAAATATTTAGAACAATTTTAGACTATCTAGAACATTTTTAGGTTATTTAGACGATTTACATACTATCTAGCACATTTTCAGAACATATTTAGACTTTCTAAACCGTTTTTGGATTTGGACTCGCTAGAACATTTTTTGACTATTCAAAAGCAACATTTTTGAGCCATATATAACGTTTTTAGACTCGTTAGAACATTTGCAAACTAGAGAAAACATTTTCAGACTTTCTGAAATATATTTCGTCTATCTAGAACATTTTTAGGACTATCCAGAACCCTTTCAGACCACATAGAACACTTTCAGAGAATTTTTCCTTTTAGTCTTTTTTTATTACATTTCTTCATGGTAAATTTAATTATTTACCTCGACGTAGTTCGTAGTCGCTTTAGAAGTTTCACTTCAAAACACAAATTAGACTTATATATAGTCAAATTAGACTTACATATAGTCAAATTACAAGTATATAATATTAATCCCTATTTGACCTATTGACAAGTATCTCTTTCCCATCCCTCCACAATATGCAAATACGAAAATTGTATTTTTTTGATTTGATGGTTTTCCGTAAAAACTTGTTTGTCATGCTTTGACAGCCCCTCCCTTCGCATTTGGGGGGCTATTTATTATCCGTTTGGGGTTGAAATATAATCCAGAGCACCACCATCCATCACCGCCACGTACTACTGGTCCTCCACCGCCGCCACTGCCGCTAACAAATATGATGCTTTTAGCGTTAAAAGCCAAAAATATAAATACACGCCATCGGATCAAGAGTTACATGTGAATATTTTCGTTCGTCTGTCCGTTTTTTTTTATTTTTTTGCATTTTTGTGAATTGATCGAAATCGTTTCGCTTTAGTAAATAATCGTATATTTTTGTAAATGGATCGCCATCGATGTTTTTAGTTATGATGTATCGATATGCAGTTTTGGTAATGGAATTGGAACCAGAGGAAAAGTAATAGATTGAAATAGGATTCTACTGACGAGCAAATGTAATAACAAACAAACAAAAACCAAATGGTGATTAGCCGGGCAATTTTGCCTTATAAAATAGCATTGTAGGACGACACTATCTTATGTTGTTTCTTGTTAGAGAATATGTAAAAATGTCTTTCATTTCAGACGTACTTTACGCATAACTAGTGGTGCATGGCATTGTGCCTTGAAGCAAATTGCTGGAACTTTCCGTACCGTAATTGAACATTCAAGAAATGAAAACAATCAATAATTGTTTTAAATAATTCATATAGATTATTTATTATAAATACATACTGTAGTTTTTGATAATTTAAAATTTTTTCAAAATTTTGAACATTTTTTAAAAGTTCGAATTTTTGGAAAAATAGATTTTTTTTAAAATTTTTTGAGAATTTGGAAATTTTTGAAAATATTCGATCTTTTTGAAAATTTCGAAATATTCTCAAATTTTTAGTAAGAAATAGATTTTTTTTTAAATATTGATATTTTTTTAAATATTTCAAAATTTAGATATTTTTTGAAAATTTCAATTTTCATTTTTTTTTTTAATTTTTAAAATTACGAAATATTTTCAAATTTTTGTAAGAAGTTGTTTTTTTTGTAATTATATATTTTTTTGAAATTTTTCAAAATCTAGATATTTTTTGAAAATGATGAAAATATTTCGAAAATTTGCATTTAATAAAACTTTATTTTTTTTTTGAAAATTTTGAACAATTTTTTTTTGAAAATTTTCACAATTACGAAATTTTCTGTAAAAGCATTGTTTGCACACCGTCTACACAAGCAAAATGTTTTTTGAATTAATCTAATCGGATGATCCGTTCTCTCAGAAACTGCATAATCATTTTTACGCCCTTTGCGCTTCATACCTCCTAAACGCAAGGCGTGTCTTTTGCAAAAACGCATCACGATTGAGAACGAATCGAATGTTTTTTCAATCATACAATTCGTTTATTCCATACTGCTGAAAATATCGTTGTTTGAACCATATACGTGAATTTTAAATTTAAAAATCTTGGTATGGAACCCAAATAATTAACACATTTCTATAATCTTTATAAAAAAATCTGATAATTTGATGTTCATATGTCTAATGAAAATTTTTGACCATCTAATGACATTTTTTTCACTTTTTTTGAGTCCATAACCGCTGAATCTGCTTTTCCAAAAATTTGAACAGTTTTACGTTGAAATATTCAAATCGGACGTTCCGTTCTTTCAAAAACTGATGCACCATTTTTGGCTCTTTTTGCCCCGTATCTTCGAAACGGCTAGACCTGCCTCCTCCAAAAACTAATCAGCACGTCTCCTTATCAATATGAATCGTATATTTGAATTATTCAAATCGGTTGATCCGTGTTCCCGAAATCTTCGACGAAAGTTTGTATCCGCACACACATTCACACATACACACACCAATTTTTTCTAAGGTGTGCCAAAATGTTCAGAAACCTTTGAAACGTAAAGATATATATATATATATATATATATATATATATATATATATGATTATATTTGTGCTAAGGGTGACAAAGTCAATCAAACACAATTGAGTTTTTCTGTCAGAAAAGATATATTTTATTGTTAGTTTTACGTTAGACAAAGTTTTAAATACCAAACCTTACATACCTGTCAGAAAAGAAACGACATTTAATGTTATTAATCACAATGTCAGTTCCTAAACACATTTACACTAATATCTACCATTTTAGAGATTATTTTACTCTTACGAAATTTTATTAATTACGCCGTGACGTATTTTAGTTTATCACTTGTTTTGCTATCCTAATATCATAGGAGCTGTATTTATGGCAATCATAACGCGCAAAATTTAAACTAAAGAAAATTAGGTATTTTTCTTTACAGATATATAAAAAAAAAATCCTACGGGCAGTTAATAAGCAAGGAAGAATGTTATGATAACAGAATTTTAGATGGTGCAGTTCTCAAAAGATTCTTTCTTGCTTGTTTATATGTAAAATACGCCTGATCGTACAGCAACTAGATATACATTTTCACTGTTTCACCACCAATAGCGTTGCGATGACAAGGCTATTTCATGAGAGAAATTACACTCTCATTGTCATTCACCAGCTCCCCGTCTATCCATTCCTCTAAGACAATAACAGATGCATTACGGCGGCAAATTCGAAATCCGAGTCAAATATTTGCCAACACCGACAGCAAGAATGAAACAGACGGAACAGACAAGGCTGATGGAGTTGCCGCCTTCGTTCGCAGATGGAATGACGAATTAAATTGGAATCAGAGAGGCGCGCGGCAAACTTTAGATTAATAATCGCTCCACCGTGAAGAACGAACCAGGAGATTGTGATACTTCAATTAATATCTATACGTACTATATTACATGTGGCATTGTTGACAGACTTATGGCAAAA